TGTGGTGTTTACCATTTGTTTTATAACATAACATTGATACATTGTAGCTAAAGAGTTCCCTTTTATTTAACAAATCTTACGTGACCAGAAAAAACAAGCGCGCGCGGAAAAATAGTCTTTGCATTTGCTCACGTCAGCAGCGAACACCCATGGGCAAATGGGGGACGCTAAATTGACCAATCAGAGGGCGCGCTTTACTTTGGTTATGTTATAAACATATATGGGTAACCCTGCTTAAAATGAAAGAGGTAGCACTTACTTTGATAACAGCTTGATATGAAAACCTGTATAATGTACTTTGACATGACTGTCGATCCCCAATGTATCCTTACACTTACAGTTATTAGAGCCATGCTGGTAGTGCGCATTGCATTTACATCGCAATTATGGCTTTTATCGTCGCACTTATTCGGAAAACATCCATAAGGCCATCAAAATTACCTGAACACGAGTGTCCATCACCGGTGCATCCCGCTTTACATGTGCATTTGTAAGAACCATACGTGTTAGTGCAGTTTGCTTTCACGTCGCAGTCACTGATATTATATTAACACTCATCAATATCTAGAATTTAGAAAGAGAAACAGTGACTAAGTTAGAGCAACTAACGAGAGGCATCCGCGCTGGATCTGACTCAAACCAAACATTTTGATAATGATAGTATAATTAATAAAACTTTCGTGCTACTGATCTGTCCTTGTAAAAGAAACTAGTTCAAACAAAACCTATGCGACTTACCTTCGTTAGCTATATTACAGTAAATCAATAGTGGCTTCCCTTTCCCAGTTGTATCCAGCCAGTACTTGCCGCTTATGGTGTGTTTTCGTTCACTCGCTTTTATTTCGTGACAAGACAGCGCCGGTAATTCAGGAATAGAACATCAGGGAGCTGCAGTAAAAATATGTTTTTCATTGTCTTCATACTGTTGGTTCTTTCAGGTGAGAAGGACCCGGGTTGACCAAAGTTAGAGAAGAATTTAAAAAAGTACAAACCAAACACATAGATAGACTTTTGATTTTTCACCTCTGCCGTTCAATCTTCTGATGTAAGACCACTCAGAGGCTGAAAGAAATTTCTCTGGTCTTGCTTCTTTAGTGCGGTTGTTTAGTTCACATATTTCGTATTTCCTGTTGTAGTTATAGCTTTGGCACGTGATCTCTTGTCCATATTTGACATAGCAGTGATGTGGAGCTGCCACTGACCATCTTTTAAAGACAGAGCGCTTGAGAGCCATTCTTTGTTTACTTCTGTCCTACACTGATCATTAGCTGTGACAAACTCCATGACAGAAGCGAAAAGGGCGAATCGTAAACGGCGGAAGATCCACTACATGCTTCTTTTGTTGTGCTGAATCTAAAAACGTCAAGTCTAAGACCACATAAGTATATTGTGAGACCTTACTTTCTCGGGAAAAAAAAACTACTTCCCTACCAGATGAAGACATTCAACAATCATACATCCACATCAAAACATTTCCTGAAATTGCTTAAAAAACACTCCAAAGTTTTATTTTGTGAGAACAAAATTTGCACAATGCTCGATAGGATGACAAACAAAATATCAAGGAAGATCAGAGAAAACTCTTATTAAGCTTTATTCGAATGTTTTAATTTGAACTGAGGATCTTTCAGCTTTTGTCGAATGATAACTTTGATATGCTTGACACATTTGTATTTTTTTTCCTATTCTGATCTAAGAAATCTTTGTTGTCACTGGAAATTACGATCGAACAACGAGCGTGACGGAAATGCTGCAAGACCTACAGTGGGACACACTTGAAACAATGAGAAGACATGCAAGGCTCTCTGCTATGTACAAGATGAGCCACGGCCTCCTGGATGGGGATTGGGGGTTGGGGGGATTATTTGATAACAAACAAAGAAAGGAGAACCCAAGGAAGCC